CTTTTTTATTGTCAGTGACACTGTTGTTCACTGATGAGTAAATGATTTAACCAGAAGTTTGTTTGATAAACAAATTACTTTTTTTTTTACATTATACTAGAAATACTTGCAATTCTGGTTTCTAACTCATTATAAATTTTCTATTACAGGTGGATCTCCGGGTCCTGGAGGCCAACTAACAGAAACCAACCTCCAGGTGACAGTAATGATTCCATTCAATGATGATCCATTTGGAGTTTTCATCTTGGATCCAGAGTGTTTAGAGAGAGAAGTGGCAGAAGATGTCCTCTCAGAAGATGATATGTCTTATATTACTAATTTCACCATTTTGAGGCAACAAGGTGTCTTTGGGGATGTACGAGTAGGCTGGGAAATACTATCCAGTGAGTTCACTTCTGGTTTGCCACCAATGACAGATTTTTTACTGGTTGGAATTTTCCCCAGCACTGTGCATTTACAGCCACACATGCGACATCACCATAGCGGAACTGATGCTTTGTATTTCACCGGAGTAGAGGGTGCATTTGGGACTGTTAATCCAAAATACCACACCTCGAGGAATAACACAATTGCCAACTTTACATTCTCAGCTTGGGTAATGCCTAATGCCAATACGAATGGATTTGTTATAGCAAAGGATGATGGTAATGGAAGCATCTACTATGGGATAAAAATTCAAACAAATGAGTCCCACGTGACACTTTCCCTTCATTATAAAACTTTGGGTTCCGATGCTACGTACATTGCCAAGACAACAGTCATGAAATATTTAGAAGAAAGTGTTTGGCTTCATCTACTAATTATCCTGGATGATGGTATAATTGAATTCTACCTGGATGGAAATGAAATGCCCAAAGGAATCAAGAGTCTGAAAGGAGAAGCCATTACTGATGGTGAGTGTTATCATCACAACTAGGACAATTGAAATTTGAAGTTTCAAAAATTTTGAATTTTAAAAAATGCTAACAGGTATTTAAAAATTCTGCTTTTGTATTGGTTGGATTTCTCTAAACAAAACTACATGCCTACCAAAACCATGATAAATTCTGAGTGATGCAGAAATGAATCAGGCAAAATTTAGCCCTTGAGGAACCTGGAGTAGGCTCTCAAAGAGAGATGCACAATAGATCACTACAATACATTGTAGGAAGAAGGAAAAAAATTTGAAGGAGGAACATTTATCCCTCTTGTGGGTAGTAGGAGGGATGGAAAATGATATTGCAGGCAGAGGAATGAGTAAATATGTAGAAATGTGAAACAGAATATTGTATCTGGGCAACTGCTGCTGGTTCAGTATTGCTGGAGGTGGAGGGTGGTGGGCATAAGGTGGAAAAGAAATCAGGAGAGAAAAAAATCACATTAACAATGATTATAGGGTTTATAGTATTAGAATGTAAATTGGTGAATTCTGTGGAGTGCTTTGAAAAAATAATCTTTGTTGTCTTTAAGCTAGATCGTGTGCTGCTTCCTTGAGAGGCACGTTCATGTGTCTATGTGCGTACCAATATTGGTTATCACCCTTACAATCACCATCCGCTCCCCGTCCCTCCATCTTGTGATTTAATTCTGTTTTGTGTTTAGCAGAAGACAGAGCAGAGATTCTATGGCTGTAGCTTAATAGAATAGTTTCCTTCTGAATCTGCTGCATTAGATATTTGGTTGTATTTTTTTCCAGCAGAAAAAAAGGTGGGCAAAAGAAACAAGATGTACCAATTTCAATGCCAAGGATTGTGCTTACAGCACACTGTGTCATTAAATTATTCACCTTTTGATCGCATGAATACATACATGTTATGTGTTAACCTTGATTCCTTTGGTGATGGTAATGGTGGTGGAATGAGAATGGAAAAGATTGGGGGAAAGAGAGCTGGTGTTTCTTTTCTCTCTTTGGCTTACTGCAAATAACTTATGTTATTTTTGTAATTTGTAACTTGGAAAGAAAATTTTAAATGTGTATTTTTTAAGCTATTGATGAAATATGGTACTTTCTATATTATAAAACATATAAAAGTATACATATCATAACTGTACAGATAAATGAATTTTTTTAAAACTTAAAATTCATCAGTTTTAACATCCATGTAACCAGCCCCCGTATTAAGAAACAGAGTATTCTGGAAGCCCCCTTTGGCTCTTCTCCATTCACTAACTTACCACCCTGCCTACATACTTTTGGGATTTTTAAGAGCATATGATTAGCTTTTCCTGTTTTAATTTATGTAAATAGAATTGAGCAGTATGTACATTTCAGTGTCTGATTTCTTTTGCTCAGTATTGTTTAGGAAGTTTATTCATGTTTTTGCCTTGTAGATATTTCATGCTTGTTATTATATAGGGTTCTATTATATAACTATGGCAATTTATTCATGCTGTTTTTAATTTCTGTTTGGGTTGTTTTCAGTTTTTGGCTATTATATATAGTATTTCTATGTATATTCTTCTACATGTTTTTTGATGAACATGTTTGCTGTATGCATTTCTGTTGAGTACGTTCCTAGGGACGGAATTGCTGAATTACAGTGCGTGCATATATTCAGTTTTAGTAAATACTACCTGTTTTCCAAAATAGTTGAACCTATTTACACTCTCACCTCTGGTGTATGAGATTTTTACTTCACTAATGCTTGGCTTTTTATATCTTTAATTGTAATCATTTTGATAGGTTTATAGTGGTATCTCATGGTTTCGAAAAGGTATATTTTTAAAGAAATATTATATTGTCAATATAGGAAAATGTAAAAGTACACATATAAAACAAAAATAAAAATTAGTCAAATGCTATCATTCAGAGATAACCACTGTAAACATTAAGTGTACTAATAAAATTTTATATACACAATATATATACTTCACTACTTTTTTATTGTCAGTGACACTGTTGTTCACTGATGAGTAAATGATTTAACCAGAAGTTTGTTTGATAAACAAATTACTTTTTTTTTTACATTATACTAGAAATACTTGCAATTCTGGTTTCTAACTCATTATAAATTTTCTATTACAGGTGGATCTCCGGGTCCTGGAGGCCAACTAACAGAAACCAACCTCCAGGTGACAGTAATGATTCCATTCAATGATGATCCATTTGGAGTTTTCATCTTGGATCCAGAGTGTTTAGAGAGAGAAGTGGCAGAAGATGTCCTCTCAGAAGATGATATGTCTTATATTACTAATTTCACCATTTTGAGGCAACAAGGTGTCTTTGGGGATGTACGAGTAGGCTGGGAAATACTATCCAGTGAGTTCACTTCTGGTTTGCCACCAATGACAGATTTTTTACTGGTTGGAATTTTCCCCAGCACTGTGCATTTACAGCCACACATGCGAC